CGAGCACATCACGGCGACCTTCAACGGGAGACACTACACTGGTGCTGTCTTCCTGTACGTCGCAAAGGCCTTCGATACGGTTTGGCATGAAGGCCTACTGATGAAAATGCTCACCAACCAATATCCAATATCCTTTACCAAACTCATAAAATCCTACCTACACCACCGAAAATTCCGCATCCAAATCCAAGATCCCTTTCCACCACCCGTCCCATGGAGGCCGGTGTCCCCCAGGGCACCGTCCTGTCCCCACACCTATACACCCTTTAAAACTCCGACATCCCACTCCAACACCAACATATACCTATACGTCGACAACCTGACAATCACTTCCCAATCCGTTAATCCTAGATATACCGCCTCCCTCCTCCAAAACTCTCTAGACCAATTTGAAACCTGGTGCAACAGGTGGAAAGTTAAAATTAATCCCAATAAAAGTTCGGCTCTCCTTTTTACCAAACGAAAAATCCCACAAAACCTCGACAGACTGACACTATCCCAGGGGCCCATCTCTTGGGATCTACAAACACGATACCTGGGCGTGACGATGGACCAGCATCTCACGTTAAACCGCACATCGTGGAGACGGTGGCGCGAACGAAGTTCGCTAGGGCTAGGCGCTTTCTCTTATTCAAAGGTGGAAACACCCTCGGTTTAAGGAATAAGCCAACGCTTAGCAAGGTGGTACTTCAATCGCAGCTAACCTACGCCTAACGGCGTGGGTTCACGCGGAAAAAAGCCACTTAAAGTCACTTCAAGCTGTGGAAAACATAGCCCTCCACACGGCCACCGGCGCGCCCTGGTACCTATGAAACACTGACATATTACGAGACTTACAATACACAAACGCTACACAGAAAATAATACAAAACGCGGAAAAACGGCTAGACGTAGCCGCTAGACATGACAATCCCCGCCTCAGGCAGGCCGTTGACTACGTACCCGACATGACCGACAAACAGAAAAGACCTAGACACCAACTTTTTGACCTTGGGTGACCACCCCAACGACATCCCTCCTCCCCCCTGCCCGCTAACCTTTTCTGTTTCAAAAATTGACAGGATCAAGAAACGAAGACGACATATACACACATACACACCCCCACACCCTTCTTACCCTCCCTCCCACGCTAGCCTAAGGGCCACCTTAGTAAAGCGCGTCCCAGGATGCATAGCCGCACTACCCTACCTAATTATACCACACATAAATATGACACCACCACCGGAGGAGACGAGCCGGCGAAGCAAGAAGAGCGCCAGAAGAAAGGGCCCTAGCCGGCGGGGCCCAGCCAGGAGAAAAGGAGGTCCCAGAAAGCGCCTACACCGGCCGCATTTGCGGTAGTCATGGATAAGACCGTGTTGAATGGCGCTTTTGTGTTGACACCTCTCTGGGTGTCATGGGTGCTGAAACAGCCCACGTGACACCATGACACTTAATAACACACAAGATGGCAGAAATTGCGGATTGCGAGTTACTAAACGGCGCACGGTGTCACGAGTCACCATTCTGATTCTCGATGGGATGGGGATTATATTATGACACCGCGGAAGCGCGATTATGGGAGTTAAGGGGCCACAGAGTCCCCGATTTAATATTTTTTCCAAAACTTATTTATTACGTATATAACACTTGTGAGTAAAACAATTTAATACTTAAAATATACCTAGGTATTTTAATTATTAAAACTCAAGTCGTTTAAAATATCTATATATTTACATAAAACACGAGTAAAAATAAATATCTTTGATAAAAAAAACATACCGCAAAATTAAAAAAACATAAAACTAAAACTGAAACATTAAAAAAATACTGATAGCTATGGTTTCGTAAATAAAACAGAATAATCAAAAATAAATTACAAAAATTGGACTAATTAGAATTATATTGTGAACTTGTAAAGGAACCGGCGTGTCATAACGAGATTGAACGCGGCGCCACAGCATAGAGATACTTATGCTGTGGCGGCGCAGACACGCAGACAGTGCCACACATCTGCATCTATCCGATCCAGTTTACTGTATCATGACACAATTGTGCTGACACGTTGTGTTGATACAGCAAGCCATGTCGGTATTGTTGTGTCAATACATGAAAATTTACAGTGTTACCCATGCCTAATTTGCGGTCGAGGTAGACGACGAATGGGGCCCACTTACGAAGGCTGTCCAGGCTTACACGAGACGAGGCAGGATAAAAAAGGATAATTCCAAACAAAACTCCAGAAGTTCAAATAATTTAAATTTTATTTCATAACCTTTTCAATGTCATTACAGAAATAATGACATAAAAAACCAGCATTCACTAGATAAATTATAAAGACCTAGGCTAACCTGTCCAGGTTACTAACCTTCTAACCCACTTTTGACTTGCACGTGCACTATATGATTGTAGATCGTATTCAATGCAATGTAGAGCAAAAAGTTGTCGGTCTTTTATCAAAGAAGAATCGTGTCATCATTTTTAGGAGACGTAAGATGAACCATTTCAAATTTAAAATGAAATTGAATATAAAATCTGTACTGCTGCATACGCACTGTGTTCTGGTAGTATCTGTAGTCGCCCAGGTGCATCGAGTGTACAAACTGGTCGGTTATACGTCAAATACTATCCTGGAGAGCTTGGTCGTAAATCAGAGACCATCTCCAAAAAACAAGTAAACAACAGTGGCGCGTATAAAGGTAAAATGTAGTACACATGTGGAATTTAAAAAACAGATTGGATTTATAATAAATTACATTTAAAATAAATAGTTTATGAGAATAAAGGAATTTTTGTAGGAACAATGGTGCCAGACATGAACTGATCCCTTCGTCCCTTCATAATGTACAAAGAAATTATTCAATTTCTAAAAGCCTTGAAACGTATTACACTGGATCCCTTGACAGGCAATGATTTACTACTTTGCATCGAATTGATCCTACTATAGAACTCGGACAAGACGTAAACAAACATTTTTGTCTCGATACATGATTTCTACGGCACTTGAATATGTAAAAAAAATAATAATAGTATTAGGGTATTAGAGGCTCACAAATGGGTGCCTCTTAAAAACAGTAGCAAATGTTTTGTTTTATAGTGAATGGTCTAAGGAGCAGAGACACTTGCTAGCTCAGTGGGGGGGGGGATGGTGTGGTAGCAGGTAAGACAGCAGGTTGGTACAGGGAATCAAATAAAATAACAAATAAATAAATTTAAAAAATGTACTATAATTACTATTTAAAATAAATATGCACACATGAAGACAATTTATTCAGTTTTCACAAAAAAAGTGTATCTCTGGAAATTAAAAACCCCAAACATGATGGTTTATGGTATAAAATTACGGAACAATATTGGCTTCGCCAATTGAATGTAACAATAATACTTTTAAAATACAAAAAAAACCTAACTACTATACCTTTAAATTCACCACAACAGTTACAATTAAATACAAATTTTTCCCAAATATGGCGTTAACAGTAATTAGCTGACTTAAATGGAGGAATGTACGTGTTACGTTTTTTCCTTCCAAATTGGATAGTGGGGATAATAAAGTAGGCAATGAAACATAAAGAACTACTTATTACTTTAGTAAAATAATAATAATAATAAAGTAATTAATCACTAGCACGTAACTGCACTTGAGTGTGGCGGTAACCCGTTAAAAGCGCCCCTAGACATCCAGCGGGTGGGAAAGAGGCTGCGTCAAATGAACTTGAACCAAAAAGGAGTTGGGAGCCTGGCGGGAACGACTTCCGGAGAAATTTGAATGGACACCCTGTATATGTTAGTGCCAGGGCGTGGAGAGCCAAAATAAGGGACTTCTAGTACAAGGAGGGCAAATCCAAAAAGTAGAGGGGAAAATAAAAGCCCTGTAAAGAGTTACAAATTGAAAGAGTGACGAAAAGATATAATTGAAACGAAAACTTACTAGGTTGTTGGGCGGCTTATAAGTAATATCCTCGAAGAACCGGGACTAACACCTCCATCTGAGGGTGTTCCTACTAGTTTCAGACAGCACATATATCCAGAATTGCCAATCATAAATCACTCAACAAACTGTTAGGTTACGAAACAATGTTTTAAAATTAACACACGTGCTCACAACGCTCATTCGTCTTGGCATGGAAAAATATCGAAACCCGGAAAATCACAAAAACAAAATTTAAGCCCAGCCCTACTAACATATGGAAATGACGTAAATTACTGAAGTTAGTTCATTCCTAATATCATAATCATAATTGAAAATAGAAGGCTATACTGAGATTGGTTTCAAAAAGTCTAATATAAATTTGTATATTCTTTTTTTTCTCATATCTGATTATAAGATCGTCAAAAGAGCATTTATTAATTTAATTAATAATTCCGTATTGTCCCCACCTTGCGATCTACGTCGTCTTAACCTAATTTCTCTCAATGTCCAAGCAGGACAGCACCAGCCATTTGTACAGGGTGGGCAAATAAGCGAGGTAAGCGGCTGTATCTCAGAAACTAGTGATCGTAGAGAGCTACGGTAGAAATTTTATAGGTAAAGTGGGTAAGGGAAAATACTGGAAATTATTTTCAAGTTTCCAAGATGGCCGCCAGTGGGCGTTTCCACCATCTTGAATCACATAAAGTTACGTTTCTCGCGATTTTCCCCAATGAATGTTACAAAAAAGTATTTGCGTTTTAATANCGTCAGGACATCCGTATTGCCTTCGTGACAATAGGTATCCCGATGTTTTTGTTATTTATATGGGTAGGGTATTATTGTTAATATTATGTGTTTATAGACTGCGATTTATTTTGGAAAATAAAAGTTTTATTTATACCAAGTCTTGTAATATTCCCGAACCTTGGAAAACACTTCTCCACCGAGTGAACCCGGACTGTGACTGTACTAGTTCGGCGTCTGAGACCGAACCTCGAAAGAACATCACAATATTTACGTATACCCAAAGAGACACAACGGCAGTGGCGTAGGGGATATATTTTGACACGGATCAAAAATTATTTATTAATTTATTTATTCACCCAACTGCACCCAACTAACATGTACAAGGCCCAATTACAGGTTACAATAAAAGTACATTACGCACACCTAAATACCTAAAGTGAGCTACAAACACATTGTGATAAAGCAGTATTAAAAAACATTTATCACTAGGAAAACAAGTGGTATTGTATAACATTGTCAACCACTACAAAGCAGTATTTAAAATCTTTATCTTAACCTAACAATATATTATTAATTAATAATAAAACATATATTTGTTGCCTAAGAAAAGAAAAAAAAGAATTCGTTGATCTGTACCACTTAGAAATTGTTTTTGTATGTAACAAAGCCATGTTAAAACTTCTTCTTGCATAATTATAAGCATCTGTTGAATAAAAGCTTAACGTTAAGGCAAACGACCTAAGCTCAGATGAACACGTTTTGCGAGATTGTCATTTTCTTGATCTTCGACAGATTTCACCTAATATTCCATATTCCTAAAATTACATATTGTTTACAAACACAGAAAGAATAAGTATTTTTCAACTTACATGAATGATACATTGAGCAGTTTCTGTTAAGTCATATTTCTTTTTCAAAAATTTCAGAAGAGAATTAAGGCTACAAATTCTGGCTTTTAGTCGACTCTTTGCCTGCTGTAGACTTCGGATTTTGTTTGCATTTTAATTTTTTTCTTACAAATACTCCAATTTTGTCTTGCTCTTTTTGGACTATCCATGTAAGAAGTATGACATTCTCCAAAATATCGTGGATAAGGCCTTTTCCTAAAAATGATGAATTATCTATTCCAGATGTATTTTATATAAACACTTACGGTAGTGTTTATATAAAATAAAATAGTAATATATAAATAGGTAACAGGTAGAATTTTCTTGGTATTTTTTAAAATGTACTAAATAAAAAAAATGTTAGATAGATAAGCAGATAGCAAAATTATAGGGTATTAGTTGTAGATACTATACAAAGGATATATAATTTGTTAATTATATTTTTATAACTTACTTCAAGTTTATAATTTTATTACGATTGGGTGGATCCATTCCTATTACTGATGCAGTTAAAGTTGATCTATGTTTTGGTAATGTGTCATTTTGGAAAGATCTGTAGCCTTATTTGTAGTAGATAACAAGCCTGATTGAGCACTCAGTGTCGATGACGATGAACATGAATATTTTCTGGTTTTTGTTGCGGTAAGTGTAAGAACATCATTTAGAGAAATATTTTCCCTATTAGAACTGTCTGATCTATAAAAATTAAATAAAAAGGTAAAGAGGTAGGTACTAGGTAACTGTAAAGGCTTTTTACTTGTATATTTTAATCAATATAAAAGTTATTTTACCTGTTATAAGTAGAAACTATTATTGGAATAGCTATCTCTCACAAGTACTTTATACCTGATGGCTTTGTCAGAAAATCATTAATCGCAAAGTGATTAGAACAAACAATTAATAATTTAGATAATGATTTAGTCAGTATTTTATCACTGCTAATTAAGTTGTAAATGTAAAACACCATTATGTAATTCCTCAAACGCCGCCCATGTTGCTTGTTTACTTACCTGTCAAAAGACTGCTGTCCGCCTTTTTTAAAGAAAACTTTACAAATAACACACTTTCTAACCAAGTCTTAGCACTAAATAAATGTCCATACATAAAAACTACACAACAATAAGAGGAAAATGCCACACTAAACACAAATAAACTCAAATACGTTAATAGCGGCTACACACTTTTCCTTTGACAGATGTCATCGACAATCATCGAAATGCGGACGTAGGCGGGACTATTAATTCGACCAATAGAAATTTGTGTCTCCTGAAGATTTGATTTGTTTATGTACATTCGCAAACAAATACATCCAAAGCTCCTTCTAGTGGTTACAATTCGTTG